TGAGAGTCTACCTTCAAACCCATAGTTAAAATGAACATATGGGGAGGTCAGGGACAGGAATAAAGCTGCTTTCGTTGAGGAAGTATTTGTCACCTCAATACCATGTAAGCAGGGTAGGTAGGGGTGCACATATTCATTCAGCTCATCTGGGCACAGAAGCGTAAGGTTGCGCTTGACCACATCTGCATTACCAAAATGGGGGGAATCCATTGCGAGCCCTAGCGTTACTGAGCTTCTCTTGGGAGTTTAACTGACCTAAACTGAAAACGTCCAGCTCATGAACAAAAGACGTATCTGATATAGCCGGAACAGCTTGCTTTAGTCACCTTGGGTGGGTGTCATTTCACCTAGCTCGAGGTGTCTGCAGAGGCTCCTTTCAGAGTCATCGCAGAGAAGCAGTGCTTTGAGGGAGCGACACATCCAACCAGTTTTAGACCTCGGTCTTGGGATGAGCTGAATTATCCCTTTTATCCCATAATTTATATCAGCAAGTTCTGCACTGGTGCTGAGGGGAACACAGGTCACCAGCTCAGGAGCAGGCATCAGCACTGCAGATACCTTCATGAACACTCACCCCTGCCTAGCAATCTGTACCCTTAGTCACAGTCATACAAGGATGCACCTAGTTAGTCTGGCAGTGGCTGTCAGCACGCAGAAAGCTGCCACTCAAGATATGGGGTTTAGACTGGTTCTTGGGAACATGCTTAGCTGATTTACTTCTTAAAGAAACACTTTAAAAGGAGGTCCTGCTTCTAGATCTTGCTTGAAGCTCAGCACTGTGAAAAGTCATCCTGTAATTGTGGCTTCTTGGGGTTTTCCAGGAGCAGAGTTTTAGTCGCTGCTGAGAATGGCAGCTCAGACCCATGAATTCATGGAGGGATGACGGGGGTGTCCCCCAACACGCTGTTCTAGAGGGGTCCAGACACCGTCTCTGCCATGCACCCAATGTCCCCCATCCAAATCAAACATCGAATGCCCCCTGTTTTCAGTCTGCACTTGGGACTAAGGCCCTCACACCGCCTCCTGGAGCCGGGTTCCCATCACTCTTGTCACACTGCTTGTCCCCAGCCACCGAGTGATGCCCCAGAAAGCATCTCACCTTCCCCGTGATGAGTTTAGCCTGCAGCTCCCGGCACTCCTGCTGCAGAGCTTCGATCTGCTTGTCTTTCGCTAGGAGAGCACTGGCTTGCTCTGTCAGGTCCTTGGCACGCTGGCGGGCAAATGCTTTTTTACACAGCTCCAGGCTGGAGCCCTTCAGAGGCACTGGAGCAGTTACCTACACCAGAGAGAGCAGGAAGGGAGAAAGCCACACGTGTTGGTGTTCATTAACCATCACCCCAACAGCCATCAGGCAGCGAGTGCTGTCAGGAGATGCAGCCTCGCCCCAAAGGACAGACAAGCAGACAGAGGAGCTTAACAGATGTACGAAAAAGTGAGAGGAAAGAGGAGGGGGCTGGATGGAGAAGCAGATGAGAGAAGAGTTGGGAAGGAGAAGGTGCTCAGCAGATGAGGCCAATGGGTACAGCCATTGACCCTGCCTGGGGCTGCCATATGTAGTCACGTAGCCCTGCCTGGGGCTGCAGGCAGGGCAGCGACGGATGGGGAGAGGAGAGAAAACCACAACAAAGGCCGAAAAACAGAAGGCAGCAGAGAGGAGGAGGGGAGGATGGCAGGAAAGATGAGAATGGGAGCAAGGACAGAGGTGGCCAAAGCAGGAAGAGAAATGGAGCTTCTGTGGGTTTCTTGGCAGCAGGAAAGAGGGCTTCAGCATGGATGGGTGGGAGATGCAGGCAAAGGGGGAGGCAAGGGAGAGCCCAGCAAGGGCTGGAGTGGCCAGGGGAGGACTGGGAGGTGTTCGGCAGGAGAAGCTCCCTGCGAGGGAGGGAAGGGCGAGGGTTGGGGATGACAGCATGCTACCGGTGAGCGGGGCAGAAAGGGACAGGCAGCGGGCTGGGCACAGGTCTGGCCAGAGGCCTCAGGCAGGAGCTGAGGCTGCCCAGCTGCAGTCCCCCTGCATCCCCGGGGCTGGCTCTCCTGTTGGGTACCAGCACTGCAGAGCTGGAGGAAGGGGCTGCTCACACACACCCCCTGCTCATCCCAGCCCTCTGGGCAGTGAGGCCACATCCAGTCCCCAGGTTTAGCAACCCCTGCCTCTCCCTGTCCAGCTATTTTTGTCTGCTCAAAGCCTGCCAATTTGGCAAGGGGGGACTCCCTCCCCTGCCTGACCAGGAACGTGGCATCCACTGTGTAAACTTCCCCTCCCCAGGTCTTCCTGAGCATCTTGCCCACGTGCATCTCACCCAGCTGCATGCTGGTGCCTGGCTCCACAGGGCCTGTGAACCAGGCTCTGAAAGCAGCCGCTGCCAGATTAACCCCAGCTCCTCAGGGCCCCTGCTCTGGGCATGCAGTGCCTGGTCCTGCCTCCAGCTCCACGAGCCTCAGCCGTCCAAGCACTTTCTGCCAGCCCAGGAGCCCAGCAAGTCGGTTATCCCAGGGCTCGCCCAGGTCTTAAACTGTCACCACCCCAAAGTTTCACTTGGGGAAAAAAAAAAACCCAGTATTTGCATAGTCACTGGAGGGTCTGCATAGCTGTTCGATCTCTATCAAATGATTTCTCTTAACGTAGTATCTGACAAGTCCATCTGGCAGCAACAAAACTGTTGTAAGTTTGGTACCTGCAAGTACCAAAACCCTGTGACAGATGGGCGGTGCAGTGCCTGGGGACAGAGAGGGCAGGCAGTGCCAGGAAAACCCCCTACCTTCTCTTCAGCAAATCTTTCACTTCCTCCTTTCTGTCCTAAAGGGCTTGAATTCCCCATCACAATCCCTGGTTTCCTTCCAACGGAAGAAAGGTTTTCCATTATTCCCCTGCAATTGGGAAGCTCACGCAAGTGCTCGTGCCCAAGATCCCACATCCTTTGGCCACCTCCCACCACTTGTGCAGCGGGTCAGGCACTAGAGGATTTGCAACCAGCTGCTTCAAGGTTGGAGAAAGCAAAAACCCTATGGCTTGCAGAGCACTGTGAGCGAGGTGTGGATGGGGCAGAGCGGAGTCTCTCACCCCTTCCTGTTTTGCTTTACCACACTCCTTTTCTTATTCAAACACTTCCGGTTTCTTTTTGGTGAAGTCAGATTATTTTTATAACTTGCCCAGGGAAAGCTGAGCTAATTACCTTAAACTAACATCTTAAGGTAGGTCAGCACATTTATAGCAAGAAACCAAGCAGGAGGCAATCGCTCAAAGCCAGTTCCCCGCACACGAGCAGAAGCGGCTGGCAAGGGCCGGGTTTCATGATTCTTGCCCTGCTGCTGATGTGCAAAGCGTGTTTGCTGTAGGTTTAAGAAAAGGGGAAAGAAAAGGCCTTTCTAGCTCAATAGAAGTAGCAAGCGAGAAGTCCCGGCGATGAGGTGCTCTCCTAGCTTGGCTTCCCATCCCAGCCATGCCCAGCAGCGGCAATCCCCCGCACTCACAACTTTGAGGTTTGCCTCCTGGAGTTTCCGAGCTCTCTCCTCCAGGCGCTTGGCGATCACCGCCAGCTCCGCGTTCTTCCTCTTCAGGTGCTTCACCTTCTCCTCTGTCTGGGGGAAGCAGCTCCTGCGCTGGATAACAGAAGGGGAGGCTCAAGGTGAAGCCCCTGCTCAGCTCGAAGCTGCGTGCCAGGGGTGTTAGGGCAAGCCAAGTTCCCAGCCCTGCCGGACCCACTCTGTGCCCACAGGGTTTTTCCCAGCCAGGGCTTGGCCTGTTCTCCTATAACTGTCCCAACCATTAACCATGGATCTCTGCCCTTGTCACCTCTCCAGTCACCGAAACCTGTCTTTTTCCCAGTATTTTTGTTAATGTGACCTCTCTGTCCCCATGAGATGCCCCTCACCCCACCCCAGGCCATCTGCAAGGTCCCTCTCTGTCCCCAACACGCTCGTTGCAGGTTCTGCCTTTGCCAGCTGGGGCTCGGCACTTCTCCAGTATCAGCCTGGCATGGCCACCCACCTCTTCCAAAGTCTTCCCAGTTTATTTCCCTGGGGTTACAAGACTCAACACATCGCTGCGGATTTGTGCTGCGCTGCCACTGCAAGCTTCGCCGTTGCCCTTTTTCTCATGACACTGAAGCACGAGTTGGGCAGAACGGGGAGAAAGCGGCAAAGGACTTTATGATGTTTGGAAAGCAAATTTCCTTTTTCTTCCTATTAATTCTGCTCACTCCTTATCCCCTTTTATTTGTTATCTGTCCCTTTCAATACGCTGCTGCTTGCCGATGGCTGGTTCTCTCAAGGTCGTACCAGATGTGTTGTGCTGTCTTTTCACATCAGCAAAAACGTCAGGCCAGCTGATCCTTCCAATTATTTTCCTCCCTATCCCTGTGAGATCCCACCGTGGACACTTGCTGCTTTCACTGCTTTGCTTCAGCCGGAAAACCAAGGCTGATTTTTGAGAGTAAGATTTGAAGAGAACTTGCACGACAGTGGTTTGCTAAAATCCAGACAAGGGGTAACCCCCATCATGCAGGTCATACTGGATTTATACCTTTAGCATAAGAAAATTATCTAGAATACATGTTTTGAACTTGGTGATATAAATCTGAAATGCTGAGCAATCAGATTTTCAGGGGCCTGGGTGCTGCCGCATCCCCATGCCGTGGGGCTGTGCAAGGGACTAATACTCTCTGGAGAGGATGCAGGAGGGGAACGTCCCCTCCTTGCATTTCCCGAGGGTCCTGGCTGCCCACCATGAACCTGGGGAGCCAAGGACAGGGAGGGGGGCAGAATGGGCAACCCAGGCTTGGCTGGGGGTGCAGCTGGGGAGGAGCGGGTGCCGAGCTCCCGTGGGAGCAGGGGGCAGTGCTGCGCCGTCACCCAGAGCTGAGGCAGAGTGAATCAGTGTTTCTGCTTTTCCAGCTAAAGAGGAAACAAGAGCGACTTCCCCCTCCCCTGCTCTCAGCTTGCCGCTGCCTCGCTCTCTGCCTGCTCTCGCCAGCGGCTGCCTTAAAGCCTCCTGTGGTTTCCAGCAGGCACGTAGCACCAGACAAAGATGGCAGAGAGGGCAGCGGAGGGTCCTGGCTCGCAAGGAAGGTCCTGCTCAAGCCGACAACGGGCGCAGTGCGAAGGCACCTAGGAGACCCAAAGCACCCAGACCTCCTTTCCCCCCTGGGCCTGTCCAGCTGATTCCGTGTGCTGGCATCTCCTGGAGCCCTGGCCAGGACTCCGTCCCCACAGAGCACCCCATGCCAGCAGCCAGCCCAGCACCCAGCCAGGGCATGGGACGGGGCCACATCCTCTGCTCACCAGCAAGCTGTTCTCCTCGGCCAGGCTGGAGCAGCGGTGCTGCAGGTCCTCCAGGGCGCTCAGGAGCTTCATGTTCTGGCTCACAAGGAAGCCGTAGTCAGTCCCACTCTGCAAAACAGTGCAGGAGAGGAAAGGCAGGGCTTCACCTGCCTGGGAAGAGGGGGAGAGAGACCGCAGCTGTGTGCCTGCCCTGGCCCCGCAGCGAGCCCAGGCTGGCTGTGCAGGGAGGCTGGCAGCATTGGGGCGCCAGCAGCAAAGGGGCAAGGTGGAATACGGAGGCCAATTTCAGGAGGAGGTGAGGGGCTGCATGTCCTTTGGGGGATGAGTGGCCTCTGGGGCCAGGCTACATCACCCGTGGGTGACAGCTACTGTCTCCATAGCTTTAAGGATGCTTTCAACTTGCCCAGACCCTCACATCATCCCCAGCCACTTGCATTTTGCCATGGTGCCACATAAACCAGCTCAAGAGCCAGGCAGGGCAGAGCACAAGCTGTGACACCCCAGACATGTGCGCTGCTCCCCACAGCTCAGGGACCCGGTGGCCTCCAGCACCACACGGCTTTCGGAGGCAACGAGAGCTCCTTGCCGGTCTCCCCTTGCCAGTTCCCCCAGGTTGGCCCAGGAGCCCGCCCAGGAGCTAGGCCCTGGGCTCTGCCCAGTCTGTGTCAGCCCCAGCTCCGGAAGAAGGTGACATGCCCGATTTCTTTGCAAAACACCACCTTAACTTTGTCACATCAAAAGCAGCAGCAGCTCTGCCAGGAGCTGTATATATAGCTTTGTGGTTACGGCTTCCTGCTCAGCCTTTGAAGCAGGGTCCCAGAAAGCAGCTTTGTTAGCAAAGCTCGCAGCCGAGCTATTCTTTCTCAGGTGCCACGTGGCAGCAGCAAGCTGTGCACCTCAGGACAACCTGGCCAGACATTTTCCCAGAAGCCAGGCAGGTCCTGCAGGACCTGCGCCCAGTGCCTGGCAAGTCTTTGCTGGTGCCACTGAATGGCACCGACCTTCCCAGTGCACAGCTCTGCTTCTGCAGTTTGCAAGCAAGGCTACAAGTGAAACATCCCATGGCTACCAGAGAAATGCTGCCCAAAGCTTTTTGGTAGCAAGAAGTCAGACGGGTGGCTCACAGCACTCAGGTGCTGCTAAGCTCCAGGAGGTCTGAGCCTGGCTAAAACTCACTACACTTGTGACCAATACTATATTGTGGCTTCTCAATCATGGCCACTGGAAAAAAAGGGCAGGAGACCAGTGCCACAAAGTCCACCCCATCAAATCCCCTGGCATGGCTGCCGTGCCCATGCCATGGCTCTCCCAACCTCTGATGCCTGTATGGAAATGCCCTGGCAGAGCAGGGAGGGAAAACACAACTGAAAGAGATTGAAAACCAAAAAAACCACCCTCAAAAGCTAACACCCAGCCCTCCCTACTGGTCTCACCCAGTGTCCCCAGGTCCCCCCAACCACCAGGAGGGGACGGTAGGTGCCACGAGTTGACAGGCCTTGGGCAGAGTGGTTTGCAGGTGTCCACCCTGCAGAAATCCCAGGGTTTGAGAAAGCTGGCATGAAATGCCCCATGGGAAGAGATTGTGCTGCTTTCCACTTGCAGGAAAGCAAGAATGTATTTATTTTCCTCTATTTTTTTTTTCTTCCCTAAGGAAAAAGGCACGGTTACTGCCACAGTCCCTGGGGACATCGCACCACAGCAGCCCCCAGGCACCTGGGTGCCCTCTCCAGCAACTCGGCTGCTCCCAGGGGTGGTCAGGGCAGGCGCAGGAACCAAGGAGCTCCACAAACTCAGTGGCCTGAGGGAGCCAAGAAGCTCCCCTGGGGGCCAAGCACCCTGCCTGGTACAGTGCTCTGGGCCCAGAGAACCAGATCCTGTGGTGTCGGTCCCATCCCTGCTACTTTACAGGGACAGTGAGGTGCCCCAGAGAATATTTCCCCATCATCGTCTCCAGGAACAGAGAAGGACTTCCTAGGACTGGGCACCCATGCAGGGAATGCTGCTGGCACTGATGGGGGGGAGCTGAGCAGGGTGGGTGCACGAGGGGTGTCCTACCAGCATCTCCCATGCCATGCATGGCAGCGCCTTTGGCTGATTCACTGCCGCCATCCCCAGACCCAAGCAGACAGCTCCTAGGATGAAGTCAAAATGCATTATTTCCATCTTCTTGCTGCTGCCAAGAGGCCTCAAGCTTCTTGTCTGTGCTTGCTTGCACTGAGACAGGCCGAGCAAATTCAGCCAGCGACCTCTAGACAGGAGCTGGGAGCTTTTGTGGAGGAGCTGATGTGCTCCTGCCTCTCCCCAACAGGCAGCTAGGACTTCTGACATGGGCAGCACCGGGTTTCTGCAGGGGACAATTAGCACTTCCAGCATAGCAGGGGGGATCTTTTGGAGACTTACATCCAAATTTCTGTATCTGAAACCCCTTTTCTGTAGCTATAAAACATCTTCACTGGGGCAGGATGCAAAGGCTCACAACCACTCACCCCTCATCCTACCGGGCTGCCCCCAGTTCAGCCCAGGTTTCTTGCCACTACCCCAGAGCCCATGATGTGGCAAAGGCTGGGATGCCCTGCGCCATGCAGAGACCTTTCCATTTCCCCGGCTGTGGCAGGACCCACAGGCGAGGTGCCATGGAGCAGGAGAGCGTGGCTGCATGTTCCAGGCTGGGCCCAGGCACGCAGCCAAGCCTCCCCGCTGCCAGCACGTCCCACTGTGGCCACAGCTCCTTGGGGCTTTGCCCAGAGAGGCACAAGGGGCATCTGCAGTGAAAAGAGGTGGAGGCAGGAGATCCTTGCCGTGCCAGGACGTCTGTCCCGCGCAGGGACCTCGCTGCCCAGGAAAGCTTTGCCAAACCTTCTCCCCGGCGCTGGGCTGGTGCTGGCTGCATCAGCCGAATGCTCCTTCAAGATCGCGTAGAGCCTGGAACCGAAGGACTGTCTAGACGTCATCCCACGCTCATTAAACATTCATTTCCTATAATGAAATAGCTTTTAATTTATTAACCGCTCTGCTGTTCCTCAAGGTTCCCACGCTGCGTGGCACAGCCTTGCTGCAGGCCATGCTTGTGGCCCCGTGGACGGTGCTTTTCGAGGGGTGCCGAGGAAATCATTATGGGGAAGGGCCACAGAGGCTGCCCCTGAAGCAACCCATCTTCATCAAGACAAGCAGAAGTGCTGGCAGGAACCAAAATCCAAAAGCATTCCTCGGTCAGAAAGGTTTTCAGTGAGTTGGAGCCAGCAGGAGCTGAGGCAGAGCTGACCCTGGGAAGTTGCATCCCCCAGATCAGGAGAATCCTTGGCCACTAAAACTAAATGACACGTTGTTTGGTCACGGGGGAAATTTTCTAAAACCAGAGGAAGGCAGGGGAGGAGCAGCAGGGATGCTGAGGGAGGAGAGCAGCCTGCCGCTCCCCTCTGCAGCAGGCTTTGAAGCCTCCCACTATAGGGAAATCGTCACTATCTGCCACCACTTTTGGCAGGTAGAGCCCAAAATACAGTTTCTTCAGGATGCACAAAGAATGAGCAAACAAAGAAAAGCCTCAGCAGGGCGGCTGCAAGAAAGCTGCTGCTTTTTCACCTGAAAACTTCAAAAAGCGACAGAGAGCTGCGCCAGCTTTTGCAGGCAGAGGTGCCCAGCCAGGCTGCTAAATGGGTCACGCAGTCAAAATTTCCCCTGGAGCACCCAGCATCCAGCACTGTCTTTCAAGTCCTGCGGAAAACTTGCAGGAAGCCATCTGGGCGACAGTAAATCAAACCACAGTAAGGATGACAGCCGCTGCTCTGCAATGCAGCTCGGGCTGCCGGTGCCTTGCAGCACAGCCCGGCACGGGCCGGCCAGGAGGGCTTCCCCCACGCCAGGCCCAGGGAACTTGCCAAAAACGAAGCCCAGCCTTGTTTTAAAATCCCCGCGGAGAGCCAGATGGGGAGGAGGCATTTACCAGGTGGCCCCACGAGTGGGAGGCCTCAGGTGGCCTTTGGAAACCGGCGGTCTTGTGACTGACTTTAACACGTACAACTTCACGATGTATAAAACATACACGATTTCAAGGTGTCCCTGCGGTGACTTCCCCGTCTCCAGCAGATACGGGTCCAGCTGCCAGGTTTGCTTCGCAAAAGCCATTTCCAAAAACCAACCCCCTGCTGTGCAGACGCTTTCCAGACCTACTTCCTAGGCGAAACTACACCAGCTCTCCTGCTATCTTGGGTATATTAAACCCACCGCTTCTCCTTCATTTGAAATTATTGTCACCAAGCCTCCGCCATGTCAAAGCCCTTTAGCTCCTCGTTCCAGCTGACTCTGGTAATTAGTTGCCTTAACTTCTCAATCCTCTCCACTTGGAAATGAAACCTGTCATCGCCGATCCATTTTCTTCTCTTCCATCCGTTTCAAGGGAATGAGCTCCCTTGCAGAACAAAGTTATTTTCCATAGGCAGCTCTTCCGCAGTGCCCTCGCTGCGTGTCAAAAGCAAGACAAAAATAGCATCACCTCCTGTTCGGTCAGTGAGCGCGAGCAAAACCCATCCACTGCCAGCACAGGGAGCACCCCTCACACTGCAGCGAGCGTCGCCCTGGCAGGGGTAAAAGGGATATTTTTGTTAAAGGCACGGGGGAACTTAGAAATGCGCCTGGGACGCAGCGGTGGTTATTCTGCCGCTCCTTTGGTAGGCAGCCGTGTCCCACAGCTCGTGTTCTGCTTCCTTCATTTTGCGCTGGGTTCCTGGTTCAGGCACAAACATCTCCGTTCATCAGTTGGCTTCATGGTGCTTCCCCACCAGCTCCTCACCCTGCACATTGCCAGCTCCTGTTTCCAGGAGTCAGCATTTTTTCCCGCTGCCCGTCCCGCTTCCAGCCGACTGCTTGCCCTTATTTATGCGATTTCCTCATTTATCTGATTGTTATCAACCCACGTAACAAATTCACGGAAGAAAAAAATCCATCCAAGGGTATTAACTTCAAAGATAGTGCCTCCAGCCTGGGAAGTGCTGGAGCCACAAATTGCAAGATATACAAGAATATTCAAGGAAACATTCACTGTATATTTGCTCTGTCTTACACTTCCCCAGGCATCCTCTCCTGCACACCCTCTGACCACTGCCAGCTCCTTATATGCTCCTCACTGTGTGTTTAAAATGAGATATGCAGCTAAAATGGGAGTCTCACAAATTCAGGTCTGCTCTATCTTTAAAGCGTCTTATGAAAGCACCATCATTGGGTCCCAGGAAAAGAAACCCAAGAGGAGAAAAATCAGCTCTGTAGCCCTGACCGCCCTGGCTTGGCTGTCCCGTGATGAGCTCAGCTTCTCCAGTCTCCCTAACCAGGGAGAAATTAATGTTCCTGCAGAACTGAGACAAGGAGGAATGCGAGTGGAAAATAAACTCTCAGGGCAGAGGCAGAGCCTCAGCACTCCAAAATCCAAGGCTGCAGCCAGGTCCAGCATGCAATGCAGCACAATTTCTCACCTTCAACAGCAGATCCAAAATACAAGAGGTTTTGCAAGCAGACGAGAGAAAATGACACCAGAACACTGCACAGCTGATGGAAAGGCGGCTCTGACCCGCTCCTGACGCATTGCGCACGTGTGTATTCATCTTTCACAATCAGACATAGAGCAGTCAGTTGAGAGGGACGGAGGATTCGGAGAAAGCCCTTCCTTTCCCCCAAGGCCAGCCCGTCCCTGTGCTGCAGAGCCCAGTGCAGAGGCCTCCCCAGGAGGGACCCGTGGGGACTCTCACAGAGGAAGGGTCCTGCTCAAGGTGCAGGTCCTCATCTGGCTGAAGAACTGCTGGTATCATCAGTCCTCTGTTTGCTCCTCGCCCTGCTCCCCGGTGTGGTACTCAGACCTAGAACCCATCCTCCTTCCAGCTGGCCATTACCTGCCTAAAGCAGAAGCAGGACAAGGCCCGTGTGGCCCCAGATGGGCTTTCCCCAGCTGTCACCCAACCTCTCTCCACGTTAAACACAAATCGTTTTGAAAACCCAGGATGCACACAGCGAGGAACTGCAGCTGGCAATTGCTGGGATATGATCCACCATGGGTACCAGATAACCTGCAGCACGGGATTGTGCAAAGCAAGCTCCTCAGGGACGACAACATCACCACCTTCCTCTTGCCCTTGGGTCACTTGGGGACCCCGGGCACCCTGTATCCCCCATAGGGTCTTTTCCCACCTACACACCTTGTGAGAAAGATGTCTGCGCTTACAAAGCCTGTTCTACCACCATTTTAACACTGAAGTACCAGCTTCTCCCTTGCCTCTTACCAGCTTTCAGAAAGATTTGGCCTGGCCCCACTCCAGTGAAGCAGGACAGGGCTCCATCCCCACTAGAGTCAGGGGACACGAACGGCATCTCTGGTTCATTGCACAGCTTGGAAATGTATGAAAGCCAGGCAATAAACCATAAAACCTCGTTTGGTCCTAAAATTCAGGTGCCTGATCAGGAGCCAAGCCAGCCAAGCTTCCTTTTTGCCCCAGTGCAGATTTTTCTGGGTGCTGCTGAGCAAGCCAGTGAATCTGCAGAGAAGCAGGCTCAAACAACAGTATTCCCACTAGGAAAAAGCAAAGCACAGAAGTGGAAAGCAAATGTGTTAACATCTTCAGTGCAAACACAGAAAGACTTCGCAACCTCTGCTGCTTGCGTACTCATGTGCATTGCCAATCATTTGAGCTAAAGCACAGGTATTGGCTTCCTATAGAAATTTTTGGGGCTTTTTGTTGCTTAGCTCTGAGGAAAGGGCGTCCTGCAGCTCCCAGCACTACAGGCTGGGGCCCAGACAACCTCAAGGCCTCTGTGGAGCATCTGGACTCTTTCTGAATGCCACATGTCAGATAATACTATTTTGTAAGCACACAAAAAGAAAAGCCCTGGGGAAGAATGATAAAATTTAGCTCTTTCCAGTTTTGGTATTTTGATGGCTGGAGCGGGGACGATTGTTCTCCGATATCTCATCTTTCTTGTAACAGAAACTCTAATCCAAAGAAACACCCCCTAGAAAGGCGCAAGACTTTGGTACTGGCAAATGCACTTGGGAACAAAGCACCTGCCCACAGCCCACGGCTCCGGGCTGTGTCGGGGCTTCACCCTGGGAAGCCACTGA